ATGGGAGTATGGGCTATGTATACATGTTGTACCCCACCCGCAAATAGACAGGGCATCTCGAGGGGAACCTGTGAACCCATTGTGAACGTATTGCGAACGAAATTCACAATTGAAGGAGTTGCGGACTCGGACACCGCAACTTTCCTCAATCGGGTTTTGAACTAATTCATTCCCGCGGTGTAAATACCCTTGATTGGACTTGTTCGAGGCACCAATTTATGAAATTTTGGCATAATATTTTTTCCGTTCCATATTTTTGAAGGATGTAGATGCGTTTCAAACTCACCACCAAACATCAAGCTCATCTTGATATCTGTCTAGCTGTCATCTTGCTTTTCTCCTTATCAAATATCTGTCGTCTTCAACTTCAAAGCCCGCAGATCAAGTAGATCCGGTTACCCAAGGTATGTATGTCGAAGATGTATCATGTGTATATTCACGTCCCCCACGCAAAACCCTTAAGGTATTGATTGTTTTGGCTTAGTCAAATGCTTTGATATCTTATCATGACTTCCTTGTTTTTTACAAAAAAACCGTACACATCTTGATTTCAAGAAAGTTGATGGTCTTGAAGAATGGAATCCGAAAATGGACAAGTATAGGAAAGAAATATAAAATGCTCCAAAGTTGTTTTTTGAAGCATTTTGAATTGTTTCAACTAATTGAAAATGGACCGGGACAGATCAAGAGCTGAGAGAATCTGTAATTGATGAGTTGAATGGGGTGGGATTGGTATTCAAAAATTCCTTGATATATTTGAGTCACAACAATGATGATCAAGAGTCAAGTGTAATAAGGTAGACCTGATTAGAACAGTACAAAGTTTTGAAGTCGATTGTCACACAAAGAAAGAGTGGTGCTTGCTAATTGATACAACTCAAAGTTCTCTCAAGTGCGAACCGCCCGCAGGATTTTTGACCAAAGCGAAGGGACAAGAGGAGGGAACATGCATTTTATGTTCTACTTTGATTACAATTTCCCTATGCGCGACAAAAACATCAAGCAAGGTTTCACTCGATTGATTAGGTCTCACTGTCCTGTTCCCTGGAACGAAACGAACTCTGACTTGAATAACAAACTTTGAGGGCACACTGAACACAAATAGTAAACAACCTTTAAACAATGAGACCCATCTCGGGAAGAGCACGACTTTCAATATCAGAGACTGAAACTAAATTTCTCGATCCATCAGGATAATGTTGCAATGTAGGTCTTCCAAGCTCAGCCATTCCATCATACTGGAAAGTCCAAGTCCTTAATTCATGACATATGTTAAGAAAGGAAAATTCAAAAAAATTATAAACTGTTTTCGAAATCAGATGAGCTTCAAAACTAACTTTGATCTTGGGCCCCAATTCCTGGGGTCTATAGTGAAGTCGCCACCTCGCCTAGATTTCACAGTCAAGCATGCTTCAAATGCTTGTGTCTTTGAGCTGGGAAGATATAGCAGTACAGCAAAGTCAAGAGTATTCCTTTGGTGGTGAAATGATTTCATAGGTTGACAGTTGTGGCCAGAATGGTTACAGGGGTTTCCATATCATCGGTGAAAAATCGAAATCGCTTACAGAACTCCGTCACGCGCCTCACGATCCTCCTTCAGCGTCAATAACAATGTGTTTGTTTCAATCCCCGAGCAGAGAATACTTCCTGACAAATTGGTGATTCGGGATTGATAACGAGTATGTGTAAGATCCACCTTTCCATGCTGGGGACATCTGGTCAGAATTAACTCGGAGATGATGAAGACGACCACTTACGGCATTGACACCAAGTGAGAGGCCAAATGAAGTATCTCTACCGTGATGCACTGTAGTAGGTTCTCCAGTCATGTGAACAACTCCTTGACTAGGGTGAATTGCCTAGGACGGAAAAAAGTGGGATTGACCTCTTATGTCCTGAATGTAAATATAGCAAGCAAATAGGATGGGATACCTTAATAATTGGATTTGGACCCCCTGGATCCTTCGGTCCGGGAAACAATGAAAGACTGATTTCCGAGTGTTTGATCCTTGCATGTGGGCGACGAGGATGGAACACGGTTTGAAAACCTGCATGGGAAGATTCCATGCATCAACAATTGACCACAATTGACCGTAAGGGGAGGGCAGTCCCGCCAGTTTTTTTTGTCCGATAAAAAATGTAATGACAAACCTAATAAACAGCTTCTATAACCTAATATATTCTCAGTATAAAGACAGTGAGTCTTGGTCACCAGCAGTCTTGTGAATATAAATTAAAACATATAACTATCAGTAAAAGACTTTCAAGCTCGGCGTCAAGCTGGTCGTGATGGAGGAATGCTCACCTGGTCGTGCCAATAACAACGTCTGCAATCAGATCTTCTTGCGGTTGTTCCAGGGCCAGGAAGCTTGGTGGAGTCCATAGATGCTCTTGGAAATTTTCAAATATGCGATTATGATCACTCAGAACCACAGAGCGTGCCTGTGGTGCCCATGTGAAGACTTCAGATGTCTCACTGAGCGGCTCAAGAGACGAGGGGGTTGGAGTGACATGAGAATATCGAGATCCTGAATTGTCAACTTCAAAATGCGATTCTGACATCGGACAAGCGCGCAGTCCTGGGTCGCTGTCATCGAGAGGAGAATCGATCGAATGTTTGGCTTCAGCGTTCCCCGCCACCGAGGTCACGGGGGGACTTATAAGGGATTGGGAGCGACACTCGAGATTTGTATATGGTAGAACCTCCGCAGACTGTGTGTTGAAAGGAGGCATCACGCCAGAGCTGAAATCGTGGTCAGGAGGTCCCCATATGAGGACTTCAAATGTCTCACTGAGCGGCTCAAGAGACGAGGGGATTGAAGTGACATGAGAATATCGATTTGTATATGGTAGAACCCTCCGCCAGACTGTGTGTTGAAAGAAGGCGTCACACCAGAGCTGAAATCGTGGTCAGAATTACTCATGCTCGTATAATGTGCAATGTTGAAGTTAAAAGGAGAAGACAGTAGTGATTGGACTTCAATTTGTGACTGTTATATTATTCTATATATGTGTAAAGGTAGAAGGTTCCCTGAGACTTGGAGAGATGAAATGTGATCGAGACTCTTTTGTAGCAGAAGATCAAGAAATATTTATACTTACAAACTGTTTTCAAAAAGTTGAAGTTGGTACACAGCGAACTGTGAGATATGAAAGCCGCATCACAGCAGGTTTGGACCTTGGTCAGCTCTCCGACCGAAAGTCATCGTCAACTGAATCAATTTCCTTTTGTTCAACTGGCTTGGCATGTTGCACATTGGAAGATCCTTCTGGGGTCCAGATCAGCGATGGAACCTTTTAAATTTTAATACAACCACGTGTTGTTGTCCTACGTACTTATGTAGTGTAGTCTTAAGGGAGCCTAAGTGTAGTGTAATGTGTAAATGATCGAATCAATATGATTAGAGAGTCTGATGAAAGGATGACTATCAAAAAAGAAGAATCCATCGATTACTGAGAAGAATACAAATCGATAAACGAAATGAACAATTCAACATTCAAAAAACCATCAACTTCAGGAAGACCATCTAAACCAAATCAGATTTATAGAAGGGGTAAACCAATTCAAAATGATGTAAAATTATCATCAGATGAAGAATCAGATCAAGAATCAAATCAGGACGAACAAGAAACAGAACCAAAACCAAACGAACAACAACAACAACAACCTATCATTAACTTGGAGATATCCAACCTTAAATTACCTACTGAAGTTAAAGAAACAAATTCATCATCCGATGCATCATCATCATCTTCTGAATCAGAAGGTTCAACTTCGAAAACCAAATCAAAATCAAAATCAAAGCAATCAAAGGTATGAACTCCTTTACTCGAATCTCATCAACATGTCGAAGTTAAATTCCGTTGATTTTATTTAGATCAATTCACCTCCTTCAGTTTCATCAAGTGATTCAGGATCAGGATCAGGTTCCGATGAATCAGGATCATCATCGGAGGAAGAAACACCAAAACTTGCATCAATCTATAAACCGGTCTTTATCTCCAAGTCTGTCAACCGCTCGAAAATCTTGAAAGGCACTTCCAATACTTATTTTGATTTCGATCCATCACAGACGTCAACGGGATACACTTTTGTCTAAGACCGTTCAAGATGAATCAGAAGAAGCTATTGAAGCTCGTAGACAAGCTGAACTCGAAGAACGTAGATTACAAAGTCAAAGATTAGTTGAACAAACTTTGATAAGAGAATTAGCCGAAAGTGAGTCAAGATTCGATTTTTGATAAAATATAAGATCTACGTAGTCTGAATAGCTGATTGAAATCTTGATTCTTGATTTTGGTTTACAGAGGAAATCGAAGAAGTTTTTCCGGATGTGGATGATACTGATGGATTAGATCCAGAAGCAGAATTTGAAGCATGGAGATTAAGAGAATTAAAGCGACTGAAAAGAGAAAAAGATGCAATGCTAGAGTAAATCATTTAATATTTTTCATCCTTCTCTTCATTACAAAAGAAATCTGATTTGAATCTTCATTTTTGTTTTGGTTAGACGCGAAAAAGAAAAAGAAGCACTAGAAGCAAGAAGAGCTTTACCTGAATCTGAAAGATTAGCAGATGATATGAAATTCGCAGCTGAAACCCGTGCAGCTAAACCTAAAGGACAACAAACCTTTCTACAAAAGTATCATCATAAGGGTGCATTTTATGCGGTCAGTTTCATGAGTGTTTTATACTTTGATTGATAATCTTTAACTTATCAAATATATTCTTCGTTTTTTGGTTTATAAAGGACGCTGAAGTATTGAAAAAACACGATTTTACTGCACCTACTGAAGGAACAACAAAACGAATGGAATTACTTCCAGCTGCTATGCAAGTTAGAGATTTCGGAAAGATGAGTCGAACGAAATGGACACATTTAGCAAAAGAAGTAAGTCACACCAATCTTCTCATCATCTTTCTTTGGAATCGAGAGTTTCATCTCATCAAATGCACTTTGAATGTTTTCGTACAGGATACTACATCTCAAGATGCAGGATGGAGTCAAAAAGGTCAAGCTGGCAAAGATGGAAAACCGATGAAAGCTGGTTGTTTTGATTGTGGTGGACCACATCTTAAACGAGATTGTCCAACAGGAACAGAAGTAAGAACAGGATCAAATGGATCCAAGATTGGGATCAAAGGAAAACGAACTGCTGAAGAAGATACAAGAGGAGATCAAAGAGATTATCCATCGAAGAGAAGAGACGATAGGTATGATGGTCGTCGTGATAGGCAAGGGGAGTCTGAGCGCAGAAATTATAGAGATAGGTCTAGGAGTCGGGATCGGTATAGGGATAGAGATAGAGATAGAGGTCGGGATGATGGAAAAGGGTATGATAGAAATAAGGAATCAGATAGAGATAGTAGAGATTATGGTCGAGGTGATAGGAATTACGATGATCGTGAACGAAGAAGAAGTAGGGATCGTGGAAGGAGATGAAACTGCGGTGATCAATATTAATTTCATGGTTAATCATTAACGCGAAGAAAGAAGAAATACGACCGTTGTGCTTTTGTTGGAGTGATTTGTATAAAACTCAGTGGATTGGATTGTATTAAATTAGAAATGTGATTTATCAGATAAGGCTTGATGTGGATCAAGATAATCCAATACCATGTGAAGCTGAACAATCAAATGTGGGCTTCAAGTGCCCTTCACATGTATGATCATGGTACACTGAAGAGAATGGTGATAAGATTAAAATTAGTACAAGATGATCAAAATGTGAATTCAAAGTCTTCAAGAAGAGAGGTTATCCCAATCAAGAATAAACCAAGAGGTTGGAAAAGTAATCCAATTTTAGGTGGTATCATCACATTCCACTTGGTCTGATTGAGTAAAAGCATCATTCAATGTACTTGTTCATTATACTTTTGTGATCACCTCTGATGAATCACAGGGGCCATTGGGGTACTTTAGACTTTTCCAACAGGAACCCTTTGGAGATTCCAAGATTGTTCTGTTGGCTACTGATCTTTTCAGCTCAGAAAGCCACAACTGAATCAAGGAGCTATGATATTCAAATAAAACTGAGCTTTACTCAAGATCCCTCTCACTAGGATCAACATGCAAACCCCTCCGCTGTAAACTGGGACAGCACAGGGTTGGCACTGGGGTTCCCTGTGTGTTCAGTCCGCTGAGCTCTCACAGGGGCAGTCCTGCGCCATTGCACAGGCTTCACTGCAATCTGACCCCACCAATGTCCAATTGAAAGGACCCCTGGGACCCCTGGGCCCCCGGCATAGTGGGCCACTAAGATAGCCCCCAAAACCCCTTGACATCTTGGGTTGTTTGTGGCTGCTTGATCCTGGGTTTTGATGATTTTATCCCATAAAATCTTTCTCCGCACTTTTGCCCCCTACATCCATTCTCTTTGGGAAGTATTTCTATGTGTAATTTTTCATTATATATGAAGGGCTGATCTTCTGAAGTTCTTTGCCCTTGAGGCAAAGTTTGAGGAAACATATGGCAATAACCATGCTTGAATTGATTATATACAGTCAGTTTCAGAAAGGTTGAAAACAACCAAAAAGATGGTCATGTGGTCTGTGCACACATTGGATGTAGCTATCAGCAGCATTCTCATACAGACTACAAATCTCAAACTGTAGCTTTGTAAACTGTTTGATAGAATCTGAATTCAAGGGATATTTGGACAGTTTATTTGGTTGAATGGTGTGGACTGGTGGCCCACAGCCGTCTGCTTTGCACTCATTGGTGTGGCTTGAGCCTCAGTGAATGTTTTTGTTTGCCTCATTTTGGGAATGGCTTTGGGGCATTCAATGGAAATGTGCCAGCCCCATTATCATCCCCAGAAAATTCATTTTTGGTGCGCCTGAGCAGCAGACAAGTTATGAAAAACTTGGATCATCTTGAGATTAGCCAAAAACTCAAAAGTGGAAGTACCACAAGTGATTCAAACCCAATTTACACATAGTGACATAAAAGCTATGGTTTTAGTTTTTTTTAGTTTTTTTATTATTATTTTGTTGTTCTCCAATGTTCTGGTCAAACATGTCAATCATTATCCCTCAAATTGACAAGACAATGCCCTTACCATTGGATATTAAAAAACAAATTGTTGCAATGCACCTTGCAAAGAAGAGAAATGTAGACATCAGCCAAACTCTTAGGTGTCCAGTCATCATAGTGCAGTCTATCCTTGAAAAATTTTCAGGCAAATTGCTCAGTTGAAGGCCACAAACCCTCTGGCCAACTATCTATGTTGACCAATTGAAATCTTGGACATCTTGAGTGTGATTTCAAACATTTTTGGCAATGTTCAATCTATGAGATAGTCCAGTGATCTGCAACAAAAGCAAGTGCTGCTATGATCCCACTTGCTCTGAAATCCATTGATTACAAATTGAGGGTAGCACTAGTCAAGCCCTATTTGAGTGCTGAAAATAAAGCAGCACATCTCAAGTTTGCAAGAAACCATGCAGCATGGACCATGGATTATTGGAAGTAAGTCATTTGGACCAATAAATCCACCTTTGAGATTGGAAAGCCATATTGAAAAGTTTGGGTGTGGTGAAAAGTGGCTGAAAAACATGATGCATCCTTTTTGGTGCCCTCTTTCAACAGGCCGTAGTTCAGTGATGTTCTGGGGTGGATTAATTACAGGAAACAAGCTCAAGCTTGTCATAATGGAACCTGGTTGTCAAACTTAAAGTTTGAAAATTTTTATTGAGGAAGTGTATGAAAAACCACTTGGCCTGTTTTTACACAACTATTCCATTGACAAGGATCTCATTTTGATGGGGGATGAAGCCCCCATCCATCTCCTGCAACTCAGTTTAGAGTGGCGTGAGAAATATGGGATTGTGAAGTTCAAGTGGCCAGTGTGGTGACCAGTTTTGAACACAATCAAAAGTCTTTGGTCTATCATGAAGTCCAAGATTTAAACCAAGCATATATCAAGGATATAGATTAAATGAAGGTGTTAGAGGCAGGGTACAGTGTACCTACTGAGAAATTGGAACATCTAGCTGTGTGAATGCCTGAGTGTATTCAAGCTTTCATCACAGCCACCACTTGGTGATTGGCCAGGTGAAACAATTTTCTTCACACTCAAAAACCTGTGTCATACATCATCTGATAGACAAGATTCTTTTGTTCTCACTATTTCCAACAGGTGATGTTGTATGTGCAATAAAAACTTGTGGCACAATTTGTAAAAGACAACTATTTTTTTGTGAAAAATAACTGTAGCTTTTTATGGTGGGCACACCATTGTGCCATTAACACCTAAGTGGCCACTGTCAGATTCCCTATTCATTGTTTTTGTAAGGTGGAAAAATTGTATTGTTGGTATGTGGCTGTCAGAATGTGCCAACATTCCGCCTACATCCACTGTGCACACAGACCACATGACCAAGTTTTTTTGATGCTTTTTTGTGGAAAAAGTAATACCCACAGTGGTATTGTTTGACCTGTTATCAGCAGTGATAAAGTATAGTCAATTAGTAATTTGAAACTCATACAGGATGTGCTTGAGAGAGGTCACAAGACTTGAGCCAGTATGATGGTTGTCAATTGGCTTCAAGGCCAAAGTGATGCCTCGGATCTCAAATTTGTCAGTGAGCCAACAGACAGTGACACCCAGCATTAATTCATTGCTGGGAAAGGTACAGCCATCACAGGTGATGCTGATGTGTTGAACAGAAGAAACTAGGTTGGTAATGTAAGCTGAGTGGTTCATAAGCTGTCCACACTTATGTTGGTTATGGAAGTCTGTTTGGATTAGAGCAAGGAAGCACCTGGAATGACTATGAAGAAAAGTTCATTACACCTGTAGTGTCTTCTTTCTGGAGGAAATAATGCTGAACCCATGATGGGCATACAGTGGTACACGTTCCAGAATTGACCTTGGAGACAGACTCAGATTGAATAATCATGAGTCAAGCACAGAGATCACAAATACATAAGTATTGAAGTATGTGATGAAGTGAAAAAGCTTCAAAGGGATGTGGTTCTAAGCGAAATGTTGAATTGTAGCAGACTATGTAGTCTGACGCAAATATCAGTGAGAGAATCAATATGTACACACAGTAAGCGATTATGAAATAGAAAGAAACATAACATAACAACAGCAATCAATACTTAATCAAAAAATCAATAACAGCAACCATCAATCAATTGAAAGAAAACATATCAAATAGCACATGACACAATTGCTAACTACAGTCTAACCCGCGCAAATGCATAACTTGGGTGGAAGGCTTTTGCTATGCATTTTGACGGGTTATGCAATTCCATTGTCAAATTTGGCAGTAAAAAGTATCAAAATTTAGGATTTTTTCTATGCATTATCACGGGTTATGCAGTTGCACGGGTATGCATTTGCGCAGGTCAGACTTTAACAGTAATTCTGTTGGAAGTGGAAGGGATCAAAGGAGTCAAAATACCAGATAATTGACAGATGAGCAGTTATGAATAGTCTTGTGACGGAGGTAGATGGATTATGAATTTTTGATATTGGTGTTTGGGTGATGATCAATTGTCAGCAATCCATGAAACTTCGTTGATCCAACCTTGGTCCTGATGGGGTTCTGACCCAGAATGGCCAGGTGGCCAGGAAACCCACAGGTCTTTTGTCAGTCTTGCTAGGTTATGTTTTATGGCTGCACAGCCAGTACCAAGTACTTTGAAAATACTATGGGGAAGATTGGGAAGGCTGGGATTGGGTTGGGGCCACAACCCCAGATAAAAGACTATATACTCTTTCACACATAAACATTGCATTAGTATCACAACAGTTACAGATGTGTATCATAACTCTATTGCCTAAATCTCATAGTGATTCATTACAAATATTCATTGTTACATACAGTAAGATTGTGTGTGTGTAATCAAACTTTGCCCACCAGCCACAAGCTGTATGTGATAATCTTTGATGTATTTTCAGAGTCCAGAGCTTCTAAATGCCTGAAATCTCCATACAACTAAGAAAATCTATCACCATGTTATCAACCAACACATCAGTATTCATTATCAAAATCAGCTCTTGGAGTCCTTGGCCTCAATCTTTGGACACCACTTCTTTTCGGCCTTATATTGATTCTTGTTTCTTGATTATGTCTTGTGAATACTTTATCTTTTTACAGGGGTTATCCGACAAGTATTGCTCAACATCACAAGATAATACACCCCTTCCGTAGTTGTTCATACCAAGGCAGTTGTGAGCTACTAGCTACTTTAAGGCTAGTATGATCACTAAAGAAGGTGTATAAACTGGTAAGGATTATGATCTAAAAGGTTTAAAGGCAGATAATCAAAGTTCTGGTTCTATACTTGTACCAAACAAGTATAGACTGCAGTTAGAGGACCTTTAAAGAAAGGCTTTGCCAGGGATTTGGGTTGAGGTTTTTACTAGTATTAGTAGTAGAAACTGCGCACTGAATCTTCAGTGACTTCCCTTAATCAATTATCTTTCTTTCAAGAAATAAATTATTAAAAACACTAAGTTTTTTTACAGTGTTTAGTACTTTACACTCTGACTAATAGAGGTACTATGCAGGTTTAAAGTTTCTTGATCTGATCAAATCCCAAATCAGATCAAGCAGCACTTAAGGACTACCTCCTTTAGAGCCTGATTCCACGAATGGCAATCAACAACTATCACAAAACTGTGTCCAAGACCAGTCACAGTAAATAGGAGAATTGAGAACCACAAGACAAAGATAACAATCACAAATAAGATAGTAAAGTTTCACTTTACAGAAAGCTTATAATCTAGTTGGTGATGAGGTTTTATTGTATAATAAAAGTGTTAAAAATGGAATGTTTGATGATTACAAATTTCGCATATTCAGAGTTTTTATAGTCTGAAGTTTGAAAATCTTATGCGCACAATTTGTGGTTCCAAGGTTAGGTTTCTATTACATATTGGTATTAGCCTTTCTACTTGGTTACATACATGTTACAAGTGTGTAATGTATGTAATCTTAGGAAATGTAAAAGTTGTGTACTTACACAGTCTTTTACATAAGTTTTACATATGCTACATATGTTATTTCATATGTAATTTGACTCTTGAAACTGAGTCTGAGTTGTAATTATTGTTTTTAAGGTTTTTCTAATTATTTGTCAGCTTATGGTACTATGGTTCAGTACTCAGGGCTGACAGAAGTGGTAAAACCAGGTTAGCTAGCTCCACACCTCCAAATGTGCTAGTCTAAAAAGCCCAGAGAAAACCCAGATTTCTTGTGTGAAACATTGCACAAGCACACCACTGGGACTGATGAAAACTCAGCCTTTTCATTGCAGCCCTTGCCTTCGCACTTATTATCTGTGACTTTCTGAGAGACATTGAACTCAAGGCCTCTGTAAACCAAAGAAAACCCATCACAAACACAAATCTAAGGTTGTAACTCACTTCTTCCCACCTGCAAGCCTCATCTTTCTTCATCTGGTGTTGCTTTGGCAAATGCCCAAAACTCTCTGCTGTATTAACAAGTCAACCACATAGATATTGATGAGATTACTAGACCAACAATGTTTGAAAGGTATTAGAATTCAGAACAATCAAAAACAAGACTGACTGCAGCAAATTTGAGTGTGTTCCCAAAGCCTGCAACAGTACACAACAGTCCATTCCAGTAAAGGACATGTAAAGTTTCAGGCATTGTGTGGTGTCACAACCGCTGGAGTTTGTGACAGGCACAATACAGAGGTGTGTGACAATTCGAGAGGGGATTGTGTAAGAGGGAAAATTTTCACCTCTGCCTGTATCACCACACTCTTCAACTCTCTCACCCTGCAATCTTCCTCTTGGCAACTTTTCTCTCATCTCATTAGACTCTCTTAGAGACTTCTAGGCTATAAATATTTTTGAGTCCTGCCCAACTGCGCGCAGCTGAGAACCCCAAGTCTTGCCCCTGAGGGGAGTATGGTTGAAAGCTTAACAGCCTAGACCTCTACTCCCCCCACAGGGGCCCTCCACACACCACACACAAGTAAATATGATTATACCTAAATAGAGATAAAATTGTCTACCGTGGTAGACTAGTCTCCCACAAGACAAAGGTATCTTAGCAACTGTAAGCAGAAACGTAAGAAACATAATTAACCAACATAGAATTAAGTCCATAATAGACCTAACTTCTAAAGTACTAACTGAAATGGATTCTTGGGTTGCCGTACATATGTTCTTCCTCAACAAATACATCTTCAGTTTATACATGTCAGTAGCACTGGCAACCCCAGTGGGAACATCATTGTTGTACCTCAGTTACATTTAACATATTCCAATAGCAAGTGCAATAGGAATTCTCAAAGTAGGCCCGGTTTCAAGAAAACCCAGTTGACCTGGTTGCTTTTTGGCAGTAACCTTGTGTATTGAGTTGACATTTTTTGGCGGATCACAGCCAAAAAGTCAACTGGGTCAACCGGGTTTTTACAAACCGGGTCTACTTTGAGAACCCCTAATATGTTCAAACAAAAGTATTTCACAAAAACTGCACTGGGAAGCCAATCTTCAAGACAGTTCTACAAAGAAGTGCCAAGGTTATCAGCATGATCCCCAAAAATATGGTCCATGGGGAGCTCAAACCCCCGGCCTTGGCATTGATAACTGAAATATTAGTACCACGCTCTACCAACTAAGCTAATCGACCATGCGAGGAAATTCGGCTACGCGAATCACAACGTGAAAACACGATTTAGCAAATACTTGGTATGGAAAGATGGCAGTGATTCCACCATGCAAAGCATCACATACCTTGGTGATTACACTATCTTGATCGCATTCCCATTTCAAACCTGTGCCCAGAATTCTGCCAGAGACAGCTCAGAAACATCACATTGCATGGGTAGATTGAGGTATGACAACACAGCACTCCAGTCTAGTAACGCTACCAGCTTTGGATCTAACTGGCTTGATTGACTACAAAATATCAATACGTGACACAGTGCAGCACTCCGTGGTGACCAAAAAGTGTTGGAAAATCATTGCTGATAGCACCTTTCCTGTGGGTCACACATAACTGGGAATTGAATGAGCGTCCCTCTGACTCATGTGAGGACCAAGCTCGACTGAGCAAAGATTCTCTTCTTTAATGTGTGGAGGACATCCAATATGGATGTTCATCACAACCCTTCTCGACATGTGGGAATCACAATGCACAATTGCCAGTGGTACTGATTGACATTATGATACAACCGGCTAAAGATGAGGCTGCCAATCTTCGATGTCCTTTTTTCTGAATGTGTAAATTGGATGCAGTCTGAAAATGGTATAAAAAAAAGAGAAGGATGGAACAGATGGAAAGCCAATGAGACACATACGCATAGAGATATGGGTTGAAGCAGATGATTGGTGGTTGGGGTTACAATTCCAGCGCACAGCATATGCATATCTGATCTAAAGCTCCGGACATATGACTTTGGTGATATTTATACATAGAATATGTCTTGTGACCTGATATCTACAAATTATCACGGGGGATACAAATCTCCAATGCCCGCCGTTTTGGCTGTAGTTGGGAAAGTGGGAAGTTAGGAGACATGATTTTTCTGGTTTGCATACCAATATTATAATTTATCTTACCTTGTGCACCTCGACAGGAGCTCTTTGGGGTCCTCCATACTTGCAAGTTCAATGATTTCTGCAAGAATCACAGCCCTCCCTTATGATCGCATCTTGAATCACTTGTTTAGAATATAAGAGGGCCTCTACATAGTTGATCCAATCCTGGATCACACACACACATCAGGACATAAATGTATAAAGCCTCATATTGAGATTTGCAATATGAGGGGGTGAATCTTGTCACGAGTCCTGGTCCTTGGACGTGTTCTTCATAATCTTCAGGTCTAGATTTGAGCAATCAAGACTCATATCATAGGGTTCACTCAGCGTTGATCTGTCGAAAAGCCTTGAGTGTGATCACCTTTTTAAAAAAAAGCAAGTAGATGAGAAGCATGTAAGAGGTAGCGTCCGATTGTAAGTCTAAATGATACTGATAATTCAATTTGAACAATTGGATGTGGGGTGACTTTAGGTAGTTCAAGGTTGAATGAGTACCTTTCATAGGTTCTGACGACTTTAAAGTTTCACTCCATGTGTTTTACTCTCTGGCTATATATCTGATAGTCGATCATCCTTGGTGATAGCCGTCTTGGCAATACAAAGTAGCTTGAAATCTCGATTTGTGATAGAGCGTTTTGTGTATATCTTCGAAAGACATCTTGATTAGGAAAGACACATGATTATCTTTGTAAAAGAAAACTTCGTCAATCGGTTTTGGTATGTTCAAAGTCAAGATAGATCGAGTTCCATTCGACAATCATCTTAAGACAAAAATAAATTAAAAAATATTACAAGTAATCAAAGTTTGATGAACTCTTTGTGATTTCAGTTTCATTGATTTCCATTACCTCTTTGCATTGATTCTTTTTCAAATTTGATTAATAAAGTCGTTCGATTTGGAAATTCATCAGAAGGAGCCGAATGTGAAGTAACTCTTGCAGGCTAAAAAAAGAAGAGAATCATTTAAAGTAAGTAACCTAAGCTGGATTGATTGTATAAAATGATATAAGATTACTAACAAAACCTAAACCATCTAATGAAGCTTCAACAACTCCAGCCATGATGGCTCCACAACTTAATTGACTCATATCTTTTGGGATGGTGATTGATTTAGTAAGTAATAAACAATTATCCGAAATCATATATTCATCATCATTTTCATTTGAATGTTCCTAGAATGGACCAAAATGATACGTCAAGTGATGTTTGGATCGAGATATGATGATCAACTTACTAGAATATCAGCCGTTTTACCCACCACATTCTTCCATAAAGTAGTATGAATCCAAGATAAGATAGGTACCAGTCTATTGAGACGTGGAGGTAAATTATTAGTTTGGATAGTTAAAGGAGTTAGATGACTTGAATTTGAATGATTTGAATTTAATAAAAGAGTTGAAGATCTTTGATTGATTGATTGATTGGATTGAATTGAACTTAAATTAGGTACTAATGATTCTCTTATATTTAATAAAGATAAAAATCGAATTCCAATATGATAACCTAAGATGGTTAGTTTCTTTTCGAATTCTTGAATTCCATCTACTCTCGATTGAGTATATCTAATGATTTCTGAAAATAAAAATTCAAAGGCTTCCAAACCAACTGGTGGGTGTAAATTGAATATTGAAGATGTTGAGGAGTTTGGTTGTCGATTCAAATGAATTGAAGGATTGCTGCTGGTGTTAGTTGGAGCGTATGAAGATGAATAGATTGATGATGAATGAGCTTGTGAAGAAATAAATCTTCTTGGACTTAATGGAGGTCCAGTGAAATTGGGATGATTAGTTTGATGACTATATGAAGTTGAAGGTGTTAATGAACCTCTTGCTTGTTTGTTGTTTGATGGTGGCGATGAGTTTGACATGATGATGGTGATTCAAATTGAATGTTTGATGAGCATTGATCGATCGATCCACTTTCAATCCCTCAGGCCCTGGTCCGAGTCTCATTGTGGGGCCTGAGCCCGGGTGACCTGATCGGGCTGGTATGACAGTCGGATATCACCATTCGGGGTGTGAATTTGATTCGAAACCTGATCGATCGATCGAAAACAACCACATCGACGACGAAGCTGACACCAAAAGACAATGATAGATGGAATCGTCATCAGAGATAATTCTTCAAAGTAAGCTTCTTCATTTTTGCAAATCAACCCCTCACACTCACACTCACATTTTGTTCTTTCCTTTAACCAGTCAAACAATTCTCAACTTTGGTTCAATCTTTTATAAAAATCAACATGAACATTTAGAAAGATTAAATCAACTCATCAATCAAAACTTGAACGATTCTGCATGTCAACAAACATCAAATCTGAATGAGAAACCAATCTTAATTCAAGTTTTAAATCATGATCAATTAAGTTTGATTGCTATTACTCATGAAGATAGTAAGAACATCTTTATTCCTTTCGATCATTGATATCCTGATATTGATATCTTGACTCGTTTGGAATTGATTTGAAAATCCAGTTGAACCTTCAACATTATTAGTATTCCTAAACCAATGTCTACAAATCTTAAAATCCCATTTAAATTCACCTTCAATCACACCTTATTTAATTCAATCCAACTTTTTGATCGTTTTGGAAATCTTTGATTTCTTCATTAATTTTCATTCTTTAGCTTCTTCAAGCTCTGCTTATAATTTATTTGATTATCTTTTACCTAATCAAAAACTCTTAAACCAAGTTTTCAATTTGATTCAAAATTCATTGTATGTCCAAATTTCTTACCTTCATTTTGGATTGATAAACTGATTCATTTACAATGTTAACTTGAATTAATAGGAATCAATCTAATCAATCTATAACAAATTCATCATCACCAAATTTAAAACTTTCATCAATCTTTAATTCTCCTTTACCTTGGAGACCGATTGGTTTGACCTATAATAAAGACGAAATTTATTTAGATTTGATTGAAACTTTATTTATTACTGTGGATGATGATTCTAAAATTCTAAAATCAAATCTCGTGGGTAAAATTAATGTAGATTCAAAATTATCGGGTTTGTGTTTTCTTGCTTTCAATAGAACCCTATCATGATTGTTGACTCTGAAGCCTCATTTTCTTTTCCTTTCTGTAGGCATGCCAGAAGTTTTGTTAAGTTTTAAAGATTTCAATTGTAGACAAATCGGATTTCATCCATCTATCAAATATGGTAAATGGAAAAAAGATTCAATAATTTCATTTATTCCACCAAACCAATCCTTTACTTTATTAAATTATACTTCAACTTTAAACCAATCACCATTAAAATTGAAAACTATGATTACTTCTGGTTCAAATGGTGGTAGTTTTTGTATCGAAATTCATTCGATCAATCATTATAATCTTTCGAATTTAAAGCTTAATTGGTTTCTTGGTAAACTTTGTAATGGTTTGGTTTCCGATCAAATTCAAATTAAGTCAATCAATTCGGCTAATAGAAATGGGGTGAGTCCGAGTGGTTTGAATTCTTCTTGGGATTGGGATCCGACTGAAAACCATTTCAAAGTTCAAGTTGGATTACTTCAAGCTCATCAATCAATCTCAATCCAAGGTTTATGGAATCATAGGTTTAGTTGCTTTTTTCACTCTACCTTATTTTTTATATTCTCATTACTAATTGACTTGTTTTTGTGGGGGTTCCTAGTTCAATCGAAAATAAACCATCACCTGAAATTTCAGTTCAATTTGAAATCTTACCTGAATTGAATTTAAATTATACAAGTTTGATTGGATTGAAAGTGGATAAACTGATGATTTCAGATTCGAATTTAAATTCAAATTTTCATTCTACCAATTTCGATTCACGTCAAAATCAACATCAACATCCGAATCAAAAACAACTTTCAAAGGGAATTAAAACTAAATTAGATTTATGTAGGATTTTACTTAGGTGGTAGAGATGCTTTATGAATTTGTTGTACAACATTTGGTTTTATGTTTTAAATTCTTTAGATAAAAAGTTCAAAAATCAACTTACAAAGTGGTTTGAAATGAAAATGTACAAGATTATTTGCATGATAATGATGTGTTGTAACAAACTAGAGTGCATGAGAAGGATTTGGAAAGGGTCTTGGTATTTCATAGAACAAGTCAACAGATGACTAAAGAAAGAGAAAAGCCTACCTGGAGCATAAAAGAAGGATTTGGAACAAGTGAGGAAACAGCCCCTTTCATGTTTTTTAAACTGCTTTCAATCTCACATATTGCACCTGCTAGTAGCTATTAATGTGTGTCTAATGTGAAAGATGGAAACTTCTACATCTTCTTCTGGGTTTCCCCTGTGTACTGGACTCCTGAGCCTCTACAGTGGGTACTATGTTTTCCTGGTGCCTAGGTTGGTTATATACAAGAACGATTATACAACAGATACTTTGAGAATCAAATGATCCGCCAAGTAGATCAACAAGTTTGTAGATGAGAAATACAATATATGAGAAGTTGAGATGTGTAAGGGCTCTGGTCCAGGAAGGAACAAGTTGACCCTGTGCTGCATAAGTGTTATGCTTAATGATGACAAGAGTCACAACTCTTAACAAAATCAATGACATCTTTTCAAAGTGTTTTCCAGCAAAAATTCCTTGTGATAGCACTGATCATATGTGCTATTACAGGATGACCCATTGACAGCAAATCATCCAAAGCAGAGATAATAGTTTGAAAAGAGAATGAAATACAGAGTCTATCTCAAAACCACCACAATCCTCCACAAAAGGCAAAAAAAGAAGGTATGGAGCTGTCAGTATCTTTATAATTCTTATACAAATTTGTTCAAAGATCTTGAGTGGTAAAAGAAGGAATAATCAAGGAAGTATCAATAGAACACATGGAAACACCATTCTTGATCATACCCTAGATACCACCACAGGGGACCCAATACCATCAAATTAGTTGGCATGAGGAAGGTGTGGTATCTAAAATATCATCTTGGCTGTTATCATGCTAAGAAGATTGATTGATGTCGTGATTGTTTGGAAAGTAAAGCCAAAACCTGTGAAATTGGATTATGAGGAGGAATTTGTTTGATTGGGGCCAATTTGACTGGGCAAGGTAGAACCTGAGAATTGCTTGCATCAAAGTGGGATCTAGCATATTGGAAAGGTGTGATATGTTGAGGCTAAATACTCATATGTGTGTGCTACTAGTGTCTTTTTGTCTAGTAAACCACTAAAGAATATTCATAGTGTAGGTTTATTGAGAGTGTGAGAGCTTTTTTTAAAGTCCTGAACAAAGTTGTTAATGAAGTAGTGTGATCAAATCAGCACTGACTACTGCTCTAAACAAAGGTTTTTGGATACAAATTGGGGAATTAATGCAAAACAGGAGTCTTCTAGCAGGATCAAGAGTAGAGAGATACCGTCTAGTTTTGTGCCCAAGCCAACAATACTCTAGTCTAGAGTTTGTCAATCAAGGGAAATATCACCTAGCAATATCTAAAGTTCTTTAAACTCTGAACACAGATGAACTCCCATGAAGTTTGAGTTTCTCAAGTTATTGAATTCCCTCAATAACTTGAGCAGTGATGTAAGGATCACCTCCACACCAAAATAAAGAAGTCTTAAAAAGAACTTCAACAAATAACAAAGGTAATGATCAATAAGAGAAATGTATAATGTCTAACAATGAGGATAAGAACTCTGACTTATCTGATTGATGAATTTATTAATATTATGGTTGAAAGTTATGATGATTATAGATTTTCCTGGTGTGTGAGAGAGCTGTCAATTATATACTTGAAACCTTGAAAATCACTCATGCACAACTTTTGGTATGATTACATACTCATTTGTTGTATGGTATCATTATCTTGTTTATTTACTTACTAGTTTTATTATGTGCATGTGTAACTCTTGTGTTACTTGTGCACTTGTGAAAGGTTATCCTACTGAGTGCAACCTCTTGTCTGTATCTACATGCACAATGCCCGGTGAATGCAACCTCAACACCGAGGTCACATCTATGGTGTAGTTTTGCTCACAAAAGGCAGTTGTTTGTTACACATGTCTCTGAGAAACACAAACAAAGGAAAGATTTTGCTTAGAGCTGAACAATACCAGCCTAACCCCAAATCAAAGTTTTTCAGCTTCTGATCTCTGAGTGCCGACCTAGGCTCAGGAACTCCAACTCCATCTCCTTAGTTTCCATTGAAGCTTGTGTTCAAAAGTGGGGCAATGCAACGGCTGGTAAGGAAGGTAGAGACTGCCTCTGAGGTGTTGTCAGTCATCCTTTCCTTGTTGAGCACAATAAGGAATATCAGGTCTGAGTATCACATTGTTATCAACGCAAAGACTGTCTGTGAGGTCTGTGGTTACAAAAGTGTGGTATATGCAAAGAAGGGGGAGCATGAACCTTGTACAGTCAAACCCGCGCAAACGCATAATTTGGGTGGAAGACTTTTGCTATGCATTTTGACGGGTTGTGCATTTCTGTTGTCAAATTTGGCAGTAAAAAGCATCAAGATTCTAGATTTTTTCTATGCATTATCACGGGTTATGCACCTGCGCGGGTATGCATTTGCGCGGGTTTGACTGTAGAAAGCAAAAAGGAAAAGACATGCATATTTCGCAAAAATCACGTGAGTCATCATCACTTGGCTTGAGTCAAATCAGAAGATTGAGTTTTAATTCATCTGGTAGCAAGCAATAACACAGCAGGATGTGGATGAGGAGAGGGAAAGCACTGTCTCTGCGGCTGGTTTGATTGATTTTTCACAATTCCAACTTCATGATCAAACACTGACCTAGACTTGAGACTGTGAGTTTGCCTTGCAGTGGTAGGCTGGTTCTGAGTGAATTGAAGGTCACCTGAATTGTACAAACCTCCTCTCCTTCTCACCCAATTTCCATCTCTCTTGCTTCTTTTAACCAGCTGCCTTCAAGTTCCATTTCCAACTCCAACCTCAATTCTCTGATTTAATTTCTTCTTATCCATATCTACCCCCATTGGGTTTTCACCAGTCTCACAATATTTGAAACCTTGATGTGAGCCTTAGAAGTATTCTCAACCATCCTCCTTCACCGGCTGAATTGTCAACTCTTCTCGCTAGTGATCACTCCTACCTCTAATTAATGAAACAATTGACCCTACACCACCGTCATTTGGAGAAAATTCAATGATGTTCCATTGGTATGTCTTACTGCCCACTCCTCATCTCTTTCAGTCATGTTTTTCCTTACTCAATTTTCCATTTGTGACAAACCTGATAAAGGGAAGGACTACACAGTTAATAAAATGAAGAATTAACTGAAGTGTCTTTCTTTGCTGAGGTAGAAAGGGTGATGCAGGGACTCGCAAAGGGCTGTGAAATCACTGAACCTTTATCTCATCTCAGCAATCTGAACAACAGGCTAAGCCTTTGTCCTCAGTCACCCCTGCTGGAAATGGAGATTTGGTGTGAAATCATTCAATTACAAGCAAATTTCAAGACAACAATGTGACCTTGACGTCAAGGTCGCATCCAACGGGCACTGTGATGTGTGTACATATGTAATTACATATGTAATTGACACTTGAATCCAAAACATAAGTGGTAGGTATCATTTTTATTCTTTTATTATTATTTATGACAGCACTTTGGTACTAGTAATAGGGCTTGGGGCTGACAATATGAGGAGGAGGATTATAAAAGACTGATCTATATAGGGGCATGATTAAACACAGAAGACAAACCTATGAAATTTGTTGGTGGTGCTAAAACTTGAAGCTGATGATTATGGTTAATGTGAGCATAAGGATTTGAAGGACATGAACCTTGAGAGTAATAGCCAAACTGCTTGCAATTGAGAATGAGATAGAAAAAGTGCAATATTTCTACACAAACTCTTCAGGTGCTTCCAAAGTGTGACACTTTTTCCAATCAGGAAGACATAAAGTCCTTCAGGTCAACTCTCAAACCTTGACTGAACAAACCTTTTAAAACGATTCCAGAAATTCAAAGCTGGCAAGCAATGGCATTGAAGTGAGAAATACCTTGTCCAACCAGATTTTTGCCTTGACATAAACTTTGCAGTTCAACAGAGAAGATTTCCTCCACAAATTTATAACCAAACTTATCAAGAATAGATTTGAAGAATGACACAAAAGAATTGAATTGAATAATCTCAAAAGGAGGAGTTTCAGCAGAATCATCATTCCAAGTGCTGTTCTTTTAATCATTGACAGAAACCCTGGGCCAGCAACGCAGATTTTGTGTGCTGCTCTGTGGTTGTGTTGCAGCTTTTCTGACCGCACCACACCATAGA